TCATTGCCTCCAAGTTTCACTCTCGCAACAGTGTTTTAAAATGTGCTTTGATGTCATTTTTGAAAATTTTGCTAAATTCATGCGGTGACGTGATTGTTGAGTCATCAATAATTCCAGGGTATTTTCAGACACTTACTTAGAATCTTCCACGAGTGCCTGTACTATTCCAAATTTCCTTTTTAAACAAAAATTAAGGTCACCCACTTAAATGGTGGTTTCCACCTTGGGGAAAAGAAATTAATTTTTTTTAAACAATACAATATACATTTCTTACAGATGTCAGGCTCTACTTATACAATGAAGAAAATAACACCTGCACAAGTTTTACTTTTAGAAAATGAAACACTTTAAATTTAGACATGCTGTGGTGTACTACAAGCAATGGACATAATTGATATAAAAGCTATTCAATGTTAGCGATAATAAATATCTTTATTATTGAATAGAAATTAAAAGAACACTTACTGACACTGCAATTTTTGTTAAGATTATTACTATACAAATGGTTTGTAATGATCATTTACTACTCAAAGCAGCTACTATTGTAAGGATTCCTATAATAGCTACCGGTATATTACATAGATACTGGTATCAGCCTCGCTCAAATTCTATGTTTAGATGGCATAACGATCCAAACTTTAGGCCAAAGGTCATTTTGAATGGATCAAGATGTAAGCTTCCTTTTGACCTATGATGAATTTATTGCTTCCTTGAAATATCGTACAATATCCTGTATGGCTGTAGAACTATTACAAAGTATCAAGATCGTACTTTGTTTAAGTAAACTGTACAGGTTGGCAAGTATGGTATTAAAATCTCATTGGGGGTGGGGGATCTAGTCAACAATTTCAAGTAAGAACTCGGTTAGGTCAACTGCCTTGGGGGTTTGCCAAAACGTGTCGAGATAACTGATGATTGAGATAACCCAAAACCAATATGGCAGCAATATATTAACATGTGCTTGAAATTTCTTAAGTGATGTACATTAATAAATGCAGGTACTTCAGTAAAAAAATAATAATAATAATTTTTAATATTACAGTTATCTAGAGCAAATTTCAAATTTAAAAAATGAAACAGTATCAACTTTTTAACTTTAGTACTTTTTGAGCTATGAATTTTTAAAGTCCGAGTTAATTTGGTATTTTCTACTACTACTATGGACAAAGCCTCCACAGTTTGTGACCTCATTCTGCTGATCATGTCTTGCGCAATGACTATATAGTTTATGGCTGCCACTATTCGCACCCGGGTATCAGAAGTGAGAGGTTGGGATTAAAAACTATTTAAAATATTATTGTTGGGTTTGTAAGACAAAATGAGGTATCAAATGAAAGATAATTGAATGGACTATATGTTTGTAAACTTACCTCTTCAGTTTAACTAAAATAAACTACCACAAATGACATCCGAATGGGATTTAGTCTAAACAGACCCGGGTCCGAATAGCGGCTATGCGTAATCCCAACCTCTCACTTCTGAAACCCGGATGCGAATATCCACTTCGATAGTTTATATAAGGCAACGAATCCCCTTATTACTAAAATACTATTTAGGGACTACTTATTTTGAACTTTCTTCTAAAGATACAAATATTAATTTACACACACACATAAAGAGTGCAACCTTGCATTTTGTCTCATAAATGTCTAGGAAAATTAGCAAAAATCTCTTCTGGCACAGAAAGCTGCCAGCTTATGTATAGGGATAAATCAGAACCATCCAGCAAAGAAATTTCGTCTCTTAATAGCCTTTTCGGAACAAATACATTGTATCCAAACATGAACAACCTTTTCCCAATCAAGGGAGGAATGGATAAAAGGAGGGACACATTTAATCAGAAGCGTCAATATTAAAACAAAACAAGTGGTGGTAGCCAAAATGATCAAATTAGGCCTACACACATGCCATAACAGAAGCAAACAGTGAGTCTACCAATAAGATTATTGAATATCACATAAAAGACTTTCTGAAATAACCTTCCTCAGGGGATTCATCCATTACCCGGTACATCCTGTTTAGACAAATCTGCTTCTTCTTTAGCACCTTTATAATGGAACCTCTTTCTTTTGCATTTTGCACAAACTAGAAGCAACATGCTTAGCTTTGCTCCTCATACGTTTCCAGCTGTTCCGAAGATTTTTCAGTTCTAAAGTCAAGCTTTTTAAGTTTTGACATCCAGCATTGCATTTTTTGCCTAAATAAACAAGGATGTGACATAAGACGAAGCTGCATATATCTATGTTCTTTTTTTGGCAGTCACATTCAACTCCAAGATGTTTTCTAAGGCAAATTAGATGCCTTTCAGGAGGGCTACAAAGGGCTTTATGCATTCAACACGTTCTGAACATTGTGAAGAAAACAGCCAATACACTTCTGAAATATTTCCCATCGCGCTAGACTAGAACTAAACAAGTTATAAACACTTTGACTTTTTACAGTTCTAAAGTATTGTTTTTGGAATGCATTCTGCGACTTCATTTCCATACAAATTATGTGTGTTGTATACACATGATGAAAATAAAGCTGTTTAACACTGCTTAAGTATTTTTGCTTGTGCACCTTTAAATTTTCCTGCTGCATGATAATGATGGTAGCTTGTCATACTGTCATACTCATAGCCCTGTGCAGAACAATCTGACTGTAGAATATTGTGTTCTTTCATTGTTTCTGCTATCATCTGTGCTATGTCATATCCTGTTTTATGGCTTGTGTCAACAAAATGTAAAAATCTTTATACATTTTCATACTGGTTTTCATATGGTATTAGCATTACATAAACTGTTTATTGAGTGTAGACTACATTGACTACAAACTGGTTCTTATAACTAATTATAGTAGTAACCAAGATATCAGACTAAGTAAGCATTATCATTAGATGGCATAATTACTGCTATAAGTAAGTATAATATTAAATATTATTTAATTTAAATAAATACATATTATTAAGTTGATCAAGCAAACTTGAGACCGAGACCCAGTCAGTCTGAGTCTCTCAGAAGATTGACTGGAGACTGGAGATAGGGAAGTGCCCAAAACCGGGTATCGTGATTTCGTTGTCAAAATGACGACCTCCACTTTTTAATTTACAGAGGGTAGCGTTGTTTCTGATTTTTTTTGCTGAAGTTAGTTTTGTTTATAAATTCTACTTCTGCCCTCAACTTAAAGCAGACATGTTTGTTTTTCATTTGAGACTTTTCTTTTAGAAAAAATTTGATGGTTTGACTTTCAAAATTATTGGTAAATAATAGCTAATTTGACTCATTTATAATTTTTTGGTGGAAAATTTAAGTTTAAAAAAATAAAATACCAATTTTAGATGTAGGCATAAATGACAACATACCCAAAATTCGTGAGGTTAGGACCTGTGCATGGGTGAGAAATTTTTGTTCAAAATTTTTGTCACATGTGTCCCAAAATTACCTATTATCCACAACTGACTTTTTTAAAAGGAAATAACTTGATTTACATTGGAAATCCATAATATTACCTCACAATATCTCAATCTCCATTTAAAACAAAATCAAATAATTTAAAAGCACCAATAATACATATTTGTATTATGATTATGATCTGATCATTTTATTTAGAGTTATTATGATATTATTGAGAGCCCTTACCGTCTTAATGTTTAATTATAATAAACTGGAGAGTGGAGACAGAAGTTGTACTGTAGTCAGTAGTCTAACTGTAGACTGTAGTCGTAGAAAGTAAGAAAGCTCACCAACTGAAACTATTAAAATTTTGGTGTATTGATTGTTTTTACCAACATTATATGCCGTTTAAAAAAAGCTCAAAGTCCAAAGTCAACAATTTTGCTATTTTCTTTCTTGAACTGCTACATTATTATTTTCCACTTAGAACTTCATTTCCATTTTTATTATCATGAGATAATAGAATCGAAAGTAGAAAATTTGTTTAAAATAAGTTTGTGGCAGTCTAAAATATGTCTAGTTACCCGTAGATATTTAACCAAATAAGCACTTTTCTTGTTACTTTGTTTTGATTCCTATGAAAGGCACTTTGAAAGTTCAGTAAATTGAGAGATTGATTAAGTCATCTAATGATGCCACCAAATGTTTTCCAGCTTAAATTCATAAATAAATTATGCATTAGCTCTTATGAAACTTTGTTTGTATGTTTCTATAATAATTATTAAGCGAAGGTTAGCCCGAAAGAGCAACATTAGATCACTGACTGCAGCAACTATCCCCTGCCCGCGGTGCAAGAGATTATTCCGAGCACGGATAGGACTAGCAAGCCACCTACGAGCTAACCGTAACCCACCCTCCCCCTTAACTGGATGACTCGATGGTCCTAGTCGATTTTGACGGACGAACCACAACATTAAAATTAAAATTAAGCGCAAAATTGGCAAAATAAAAAAAATTTAAATAATCAACTTTTAGAGAAATTAAAATAAAAGCATTGTGATTTATTAGTGATGAACACAAAGTCTCAATTTATTTTCTGCACGCTATTTTATTATTATTATTATAATTATTTTAATTAGATTGAGAATTGCCACGTTTGCCAGTCTTTTATTTCTCATTTCTATATATTGAATATGAAAAAACATTTATTATTTTATTTTGGTAAATAGTCTTATCCCGGAAATAACCCTAAAGTCATTGCCCTTCCTCCCGTAGACATTAAAGTGTGAATAATAACATTAAATCACCTAAAACTTTTTCGTAATAATATTTTTGTTATGATTCAGAATATAACTGTTTCTATTTACAAAAAGGCGTTTTCAATTTCTCACTCTCATTTGAATGTTGATTATTAGGCTAAGCACTATCTCACTGACTGCCTCATTGTAGAGCCTATGCCTAATTGCTGCCTATAACTATAATTATTTATAATTATAATGGCGTATACCTATATAATATATACAGTTTATTTATTATAATAATTATACAAAATAATGCTACTGTACAATATTTTATAAACTGATAAAACTGTAACTCATCAACCGTAGTAATAATCCTTAATTCAAACTTAATTGTTATAGGAGTCAAATGTTTATGCCTAGGACTGTAGTCGTGTACAGATTCAGTGTCACTCTGTTCTGTAGACTGACTGATAAGTTTTAAAATTAAAAATGAAAGTTACTTATTAAAATTCAGATACTCGCACACAATTCAATTGCACTTTTGCATCTTGTCTTATTCTCATATTAAAAATATGAGACTTATGCCTGGTTTGGAAAAAACTCGATGGAATTAGTGATTAGACGGTTAGTGAATTTGACTTAAACTTAAATTTTTCAGTGAATTATCCCAAATTATTAATTACTATTTGGCCCTAATTACTATTTTAATAAATATTTGTTAATTTTTTTAAGAAGTGGCTATTGGTACCCGGGTACCAGAAGTGAGAGGTTGGGATTAAAAAACTATTTAAAATTTTATTGCTGGGTTTGTAATCCTAACCTCTCACTTCTGGTACTCGGGTACCAATACTCGCAGCCATTTTTTAATAGAGCCTAGGCCTATAATTAGTATAATATTTATAATTATAGTATAGTCTGTAAAGCCTAGGCCTAGGCTAGGGAGCCATCAATAAATGACATCACACATGGGGGAGGGGGGGGGGGCAAGCAAGGTCACGGATTTGTGACAATGTCTTACGGGGGTGTCTCAGCTGTATGACAAATTATCACTGGGTGGAGAACGGAGGGGGTCCAAATTAGTATAGTCTGTAAAGCCTAGGCCTAGGCTAGGGAGCCATCAATAAATGACATCACACATGGGGGAGGGGGGGGGGGCAAGCAAGGTCACGGATTTGTGACAATGTCTTACGAGGGTGTCTCAGCTGTATGACAAATTATCACTGGGTGGAGAACGGAGGGGGTCCAAAATAGCGTGATGTCACTTATGGATGGTGCTTAGGCTATTTATAAGTAAGCCTAGACAATTACTTTAAACTTTTAGTAATTTAAATCTGAGCTCTGTTGTTATTTTTTTTTTTTACACTGTAGTAGACTATACAGTCTATGCATACCAGAACAAGATAAAAACTTTACTTCAATACTATTAATAGCCCCAAGTCTAAGGGACCTACTCGATAAAGTATAAATAGGCTTAATTATTACCATTCAGTTGTTTGAATTTCAACTTGGACAAATTTTTTACTTATTTCTTTAAAGTAAAAGTCTACATCTACTCATTAATATATCTTTAGTTAACGTAAAATTAAAGATCTTTACTACACTTAAGATCTAGGATCTCTTGTCCTATAGGCTAGTGACATAGCCTATATTTAAATGTAAATCAGTTTTTAAGAAGCATACTTTGTGCATTATCTAGTATATGAGTGAGTAGGGGGACTACAAAAACAGCACAAAAAATACTATTTATGCATTTTCTGCTTTTTGGCACTGGCACTGGAATCATTTGAAACTATGGCCTTCTATGTGTAGTTGTTTGGGTTCACTAGTGGTGACTGAGTTTAATGATACCTGATTTTTGATGTAACAAAAATAGTCTGTTTATTCTTGTTTGAAAAAGACAGTACTGTAATTGTAAGACAAAGAAAAGACTTACTTAAACTGAGAAATCCATGACATGGGCTGTCAATTCAAGGCCAGGAAAACACAGGTCATGTGAATAAATACATGAGTGGCAGATACTATTACTGTGAACAGCAGTGAAGTTACATTGCCTTTGCCTCCAGCCTTAGTCGGTATATGAAGACTGAAGTTGGACTCTCAAATTCTGAAATAGTTGTCTTTTATAACATTGCTGCTACCAACTGAGGATTCCTAAGATTCCTTAAGAGCTTGCAGTACAGATATGAGGATGTAGGTTAAGTTCCATTAGCTACAGACTAAACTTCAGCATCTTGGAGATTTTTAGAAATATAAAATGCAAACCTTTGTTTATTTGAAGATTATTTGTATATTAATTTTAAATGAACACTTAAAAGATTAATAACCATTTTATCCTTAATGTGTGTGGAGCAGCATCTCAAGACTACATGTTGTTGTTCGTCCGTCAAAGTCGACTAGGACCATCGAATCATCCGGTTAGGGGGGAGGTTGGGATTACGGTGAGCTCGTAGGTGACTTGCTAGACCGATCCTTGCTCGGAATAATCTATGACACAGTGGGCATGGAATAGTTGCTTCAGACGGTGACCTAATGTTGCTCTTTCGGACAAGCCTGCGTGTCTCAGCTGTGGTTATTCTAAGAATAATAATTATTTCGGGAGCCGGTGGTCTTCCATTTCCATACGGGCTACGTGTCCCATCCAACGGAGATGAGACTGCATCAGAGTGGTGAAGATAGTAGGTAGGTTCGCTCTAGCGAGGACCTCGGTGTCAGGGACTTTGTCTTGCCACCTGATGTCGAGGAGTTTCCTGAGGCAGGTAGTGTGAAAATGATTCAGTTTCTTGGCGTGACGCTGGTAGATTTCCACGTTTCACATCCATAGAGCAGTGTCGGGAAGACTGCTGCGCTATAGACCTTGAGCTTTGTTTCTCGTCTGATACCTCTCCTGTCCCAAACAGTGCTGCGGAGGCTGCCAAATAGGGCACTAGCTTTTGCGAGTCTGCCATTCATTTCTTCATCCATGACGACAGATCTAGAGAGGGTGCTGCCCAAGTAAGTAAATTTATCCACCGGGTTGAGACGCTGTTCACTGACGACGATGTTGGGTTCAACGTAGGGCTTACTGCGAGCTGGCTGATACATCATCTCAGTCTTCTTTGTGTTGATTGTGAGGCCAAAGTTAATGCAGGCCTTAGAGAAGATATCAACGCTATGTTGCATGACGGCTTCTGAGGTAGCGTTGAGGGCACAATCATCTGCAAACAGAAGCTCGTTGATCGTGGTACGTTTGACCTTGGTTTTAGCTTGAAGCTTCCTAAGATTAAATACTGATCCATCAGTACGAAACCTGGATTGGCAAGCTTGTGGTGGAGTCCTTGCACGCATCAGACAGCATTGCGGAATACATAATACTGAAGAGTGTGGGAGCAAGGACACTGCCCTGCTTTACAGCGTTTGTGACGGGGAATGCTTGAGATGATTGACTACATAATGATGCAGAGGAAACATAATAGATCTTTCCCTTGTTATCTTTAATTTTATAAATTTTCTGAAGGTACCGGTAGTATAAACCCATGAGCATGGAAGTCGATCAGCAAAATAAAAGAAAAAACAAATCAATCGTGGATGACCCTAACTGAGATGTGACAGGTTTATTTTCTTATTGTACATTAAGTTTATTGCATCTTAGTAATCACATTGTCATAGAATAAATGAACTAAAATTTAAAGGGCTTCTCACTGAAAAAAATGTTTATTGCTCTCAAACAAACTTCTGATTAGCTGAAAATCTATAATTTTAAAAACCTGCTTTTAAATATTATTGAAAGTGTGCTTTTCTGCAGAAATAAAATAGTCTTTCAAAAAATTCAAGCACCAAAAAATAAATGTGATAAAAGATCTGGGTTGACATTGTGTTTACTCTCCAATTCAATAATTTAAAAACAAATTACAGTCTTTTGCTGTGAAGGGAATTGACCAAACTTCACAATTGCCAAAATCTGGTTTTGATCCATTTAGTGATTTTAATGTCTATAGTGGATATGCTTTAAATTTAAAAAATATATATGTAAAAAGTGGTCCATATTTTGCGAGGGTTGGAGAACTATTGTAACGTGTATATTACACATTAAAAGTTCTTTTAAAAAATAATTTATCTGGATAACTCGTTTTTAAATGCATTGTTTTCCACTAAGTTTAACAGCTTTATGTTTAAAAAGAACAAGTTAGACCTTAACGTTGCTCTATGGCTTTTGAATTATTACTGTTAAAGATTGAGTTATACACCTCCTTCAGTTAGTTCTTCTAATAAAACCAAATAAATATTATTATAATTTTTTTACAAGTACTATCAAACAAACACATTTTACACTAATTACCTTTAAAAAACAAAAAACAATTAAAGGATTATTTCTAAAAAATTATCTTGTTTATGCCCTAATAGGCAATATTTTTAAGAAATTATCATCAAAGAAAATAAATTTTGAAAACTGAAAAGGGTTATTGATTTTTTTTATCATTCCCATTGATCAGCAACACAAACCGGTGCACTGTACAGCTCATCAAGATAGTATGGTCAATATAGACTTTTTATTGCTCTAGTCCTCAGTGAATATACGTGTGATAAGTTTAATGATGTGGGATGGGGAAGTCACAAATACTTGATGTCTTATACTCGCTGGGCACAGTGTATTAGTTTTTGTTTTACCTTGCCCATGAGACATAATGAGAGGTACATTTTGTTTATTTTAAAATGTTGAATTTTTTAAATGTTAATTTACAATGATGCTGATAAAATTAATATGGTTCATTTCAAAATGCTAATTTTGGAATCTGTTTTCCCTAGGTTAAGAACATGGCTTTCTGAATGAAATCATCAGCATTCACCAGCAGTCACCTTGTGGCTGAGCACAACCTAGAGACGGCTGTAATGGCTCGGAAAAGATGCTCTTCTTTCTACTCCATCACTGGCCTCTGTTTAATAACCTTTATATTTGCAATGATTGGCTTCCACTGGCTTGCTCCCAGCTGGGCTGGTAGCGCCTTGGCACGGAATCTTCCAGCTGAATTACAGAGCCATGAAGTGGTGACGATGCTCATCGATTCGCCACATTCAGAGCCAAGAGACTCAAACTGTACCTTCCACAACTTTACCTGCCTTGAAGTCTATCATTGTGGTTACGATGACAAGACTGTGATTAGTTTGTACATATATCCCATACAGAAATATTATGATGAACAAGGAGTGGATATTACACCACCTATGTCGAGGGAATTTGAAGAGGTTTTACGTGTTATTTCTCGGAGCCCATATTACTCAAAAGATCCAGAGACCGCCTGCATGCTCATTCCTTCTGTTGACCTGCTCAATCAAAACTTAATCAAACCTCACCAGGTTAGCCGGATATTAGCTGGACTAAAATGGTGAGACCAATCTTTTGATGTCATTTGCTGTTGATAATGATGATTATAGATTTTTGAAAAAATAGTTTAAAGTTTACAGGAAGATTTTTTTACTTTTGAATTACACTAGGAATGAGTTTTTCTTTCAACTTGTGTAATATTTTGATCATTAAATGTTTATAAGTTAATAAAATATAAACATTTTAAGGTAAATTACTCAATATTCTATGTGACTTTCTCTTCACTATATTATATCTTGTTAGTCTCAAAATTCTTTGTGACTTTCTCTTCACTAAATATCTTGTAACATTTTGATCACAAACCTAGAGCACAGGTAATACGATATAAATTTTTCATATTTTCCTTTTTATTTATCTAAATCAGTTTTGAATAATTGTTCTTTTAAAACTATGGTTAAAGGTTTATATAACACCTAAACTCCTGATTTTAATGATGGCAAGACACATTATTACTAATGTGTTAGCTTAAAATCAAGTCAAGAAAACTAACTATAGGTGCAAGGCATGCAACTATTTGATAACCTTTATCTCATCCAGGTGGAACAAGGGTAAAAATCATCTACTTTTTAACATGCTGCCTGGTGCAGCTCCCAGCTATGTCAATTATCTGGACGTGAATACCAGCAAAGCTATGGTTGCTAGTGGAGGATTCTCCTCCACAACTTACCGTCGTACGTTTGATATCACTATACCGGTCTACAATCCCTTGTTGGAAGGAGTTGATCTCCCCATCAAATCCCACCTGTAAGTTTGAACTAGTGCATGGTTTGATGTTATTTCACTTGGAATAACCCAGTTGAGTTAATGAGTGAGTTAGCTGACCGATACTTTAAGTTTAAAAAATATATATATATTGTTACGGAGTAGATATACAGTTTTAAGGAAATTTCACTGAATGCTACATATACTTATACAGGTTCAACTATAGTTTCTTTTCACTAAGTTTAGTGATGAAAATAAAATAATTTAATTAGGAACTCTCAATTTTTTAAAGAATTAATAAAGTCCCTTGTATGAAATTGGTTTTCCAGAGAAACGAGAAAGTGGCTATTACTCTCAAGCCAATTTGGTCTGAACCCAGTTTACAAATCTGCGATAAAAGCAGCTGCTGCCTCTGACAACAGTGTCCTTGTGTTGGATCGCTGTAGTGGAACTCCCTTGAACTACTCCATTAGGTGTGACCAACAAGGCAATGAGTATCCGTATCCGGCCATTCTACAGGTGAAGCTTATTCGTTACAAAGTGTTTTTTTAAAGATTTAAGCAGGGGCTCTTTTCATTACTTGCACATTGTTAAAATCTGATTATTAAATCAAATGATCACTCTTAAAGTTGTCAGGTGATGAGTTTTCACGATATATGATGGTTGAGTTTTGCACTTGAGAAATACTTTAAATTTCATAAGTTTTAAAAAATTGTTTTAGTGTTTTAGTGCTGAAAATGAAATAATAAAAAAAAATTTCCATTGTTTTGGAACAATAAAATAATTTTATTGTGTGGTTTCTATAAGCTGAATTTCTTTGTTGTAAGTACTGGATATTTCAATTTTAAAAGACTTTTACAAAAATTGATAACCTCCTTTGAAATTTTATTTTTATAAACTTATATAAAGTGTTGAATTGCTTGGGGACCGCACTGACTTTTAAGATGTTATGTTCTAAAAACAGGAAGCTACATTTTGTTTAGTGGTCCGCGGAAACCGTCTTGGTCAGCCAACCCTGATGGATACCATGATGGCTGGATGTATCCCTGTGGTTGTGGCAGATGGCTACCTAATGCCTTTTCATGAAGTTTTAGATTGGACGAGGTAAGTAGTGTGACATAACCTTACCCTATTGGACAATTTAGGTTGTGTGACATAATCTTACACAATTAAACAAGGTAGATAAGCTATTCACATATTCTCCATTTAGTTGCTGTTCCTTTATATGGGAAATTTATCATAGTATAAATCATGCAAGGTTAAAATGCAGTAGTTTATTTTAGAGTTTAGCTAGGGCCTCGATAATCGGTTCTCATCCTTCCTAATACCGCGACCCTTTAATATAGTTCCTAATGTAGAGGCAACCCCTAACAACAAAATTAATTTCGTTGCTACTTCACGACCGAAGAGATTATGCGTCTTCCTATGGTCTTAGGCGCCCCTGGGAAAGGGTCGTTCGACTCCCAAAGCCATGTTTAAATTCAAGCTAACCAGACAATATCCATTTCACAACAACCACATCACATCATCCACATCACAACATCCACCTCTCAACATACACCTTACAACATCTGCCTTACAACAGCCACCCCACAACATCTGCCTCACAACAGCCACCCCACAACATCTGCCTCACAACATCCACCCCACAACATCCACCCCACAACATCCACCCCACAACATCCACATCACATCATCCACATCACAACAGCCACCTCACAACATCCACATCACAACATCCACATCATCCACATCACAACAGCCACATCACAACAGCCACCTCACAACATCCACATCACAACATCCACATCACATCATCCACATCACAACAGCCACCTCACAACATCCACCTCACAACATCCACATCACATCATCCACATCACAACATCCACATCACAACAGCCACATCACAACAGCCACCTCACAACATCCACATCACAACATCCACATCACATCATCCACATCACAACAGCCACATCACAACAGCCACCTCACAACATCCACATCACAACATCCACATCACATCATCCACATCACAACAGCCACCTCACAACAGCCACCTCACAACATCCACATCACAACATCCACATCACAACAGCCACATCACAACAGCCACCTCACAACATCCACATCACAACATCCACATCACATCATCCACATCACAACAGCCACCTCACAACAGCCACCTCACAACATCCACATCACAACATCCACATCACATCATCCACATCACAACAGCCACCTCACAACAGCCTCCTCAAATTAAAATTACAGAAGGAGTTTAAAAATACAGATGAGAGAAAGTCGTCAGGCAGATGTGGAGATCTTGATATATATTGATTTTTATTTGTGGCTTAATTTATGGTCTAAATTTTTTTAGGGCTGCTGTGCACCTGAATGAGGAGCATCTTTCTAATGTGCTCGATGTGTTGAAAAACTTTAGCTTGGAACGAATTCATGACATGAGGCGGCAAGTGCACTTTTTCTGGCAGAGCTACTTTAAGTCACTGACGGACATAACGCTGGCCACATTACAGATTGTCAATGACAGGGTTTTCCCATTTAATGCTCGGACATACGATCAGTGGAATGAGTTGCTTAATCCGGTTTGTGCCTTTTACTTTAAGTTTATTTTAAGTTAGGCTTCTCAAACTTGAATCTTCTGAACAGCTGCAATAAAACAATGAGCACCTTGCATGTGCCTCCTTATGGAAATATTCTTTTTTAATTTGAAACATCTCCCGCCTCATTATTTTTTTATGGAATAATGCATGCTTACTTGCCCTTAGCACAACTAACTATTGAAGCTGAACTCTCTTAATATTATTTTAAAAGTACTTAAATTTAAATAAAAACACATCTTTTTCTTCTTCTTTGCTCCTACTGGTGCCTGGGCCATTCAATAATTCTTTCCCTTTATCCTTGTTCTGCACTATTCTTTCCAGCTCAATCCACGTCTTGCCATTTCTCTCTCTCTCACTCTGCTGAAGTCCAGACCTGTTTACTCTTACGATTTTGGCGTAAATGTACGATTTTGAGATGTATACATTATATATACTGTATGTTTATATTTTTTACTATTAAGATAATGTATTGAACAATTTTGTGATGATATTGTACGATTTTAAGAGTTTGGGGGTAAACAGGTCTGGAAGTCCTTTTTCCATTTGCTATGTTGTATTTTCTTTGTTTTTTGGTCTGATGGTTTTTTTCCAAGCTTTTCGTATGATGACAAGTCCTCGTTATCTGACAGGTAGTAAATAAATCATCTCTCTTCATGCTCCCCAAATGCAGAGTCTGTCTTACTCGAGGATGTCAAAGTTGTGCTGTTTGTGAATGATTCCCTAGTTTTTTATTTTCTATATATAAATGGGCCACCAACCCAAAGTTAAACCTTTTAATAGTGGCTTCATATGACACACAAGCAGGTAGGCAGTGGGTCAATACAGCTCCTGATCAGTTTCAGATCTCGTGCCCACAGTGGGAAATAACAGAGTGATAAGTCATTATTTGTCTTTGCCCTTATATTAATTTAACTGAATTTCTTATGTATACCTTAACTGATCTCACAGAATGCCATCAAGAACCCATTGTTTTTACCACTACGGGCACCAAAGAATCTGGGTTTCACCGCCGTTATATTGACCTACGACAGAGTTGACTCTTTGTTCCAAGTAGTTCGCCAGGTTGGAAAAGTGCCAAGCCTTGCCAAAATCATTGTGGTTTGGAATAACCAGGAAATTTTACCCCCGCCAAGTAAGTCACTTAGGAGATTTTTAAATGAGCTGAAACTTTTACATGATAGATCATTTAGTGCCCATTGAAATAATTCTTCTGATTTAAAACTCTATGAGCAAGCATTCCTTTTTAACTGTGAATGTCAATATACTTGTGAGAAAAATTATTTCAACTAGAGCAATTGGACATAATTTACAAGAACTAAATTTTGATGAGTTTTAAGCTTGAATGTTTTAATATACGATTTTAATTTAAAAATTCTCTATTTCTGGTGAATGATCTTGAAAAAAATATGCTTGGGATTAAGTTTGTTGTCTTCAATAAAGTATATTGAAATGTTATACACTTAAAAAGTATGTTGAAATGATACACACTTGAAGTATATTGTAAAGTTATGCACTTAAAAGTATCTTGAAGTTTGAAGTGTTACGCATTTGGGAACAATATGCAAAAATGGAAGGGAATAGTTTTACTTTAATAATTCCCCTAAATATAAATTTATTAGTAACTGCATTTTAAAAACCTTCATTTCAAACAACACAATAATTGAGCCTGAGACCACCCTATAGCACACCCCAACCTATAGCACACGCCACTCTATAGCACACCCCACCCTATAGCACACCCCACCCTATAGGACACCCCACCCTATAGGACACCCCACCCTATAGCACACCCCACCCTATAGCACACTGCTCTTTTCATCATACAGATGCTAGGTTTCCTTTAGAAGCATGGCTGCCCTGAGTACCCCTCCTCCCACCCACTGCTGCCTTCTTGCCTTGAATAGATGATTATATAAGTATCTGACCTGTATTGCTAACATTATGATAACATCATGGGTGGATGGGTGGCCCACTTCCCATCAACCTATAGGGCACAAAGACTTGTTGCCTATCAAATTTTCAGGCCCCCCCCCCCCAATTGTTCATGTTTTTCAATGGGAATATAAAATAAAATGCCTCATAACAGCGCTAAATGAGATTCTTTAAAAAAAATATCGCCTATGATTATATAAGTATCTGACCTGTATTGCTAACCTTATGATAACATCATGGGTGGATGGGTGGCCCACTTCCCATCAACCTATAGGGCACAAAGACTTGTTGCCTATCAAATTTTCCGGCCCCCCCCCCCCCAATTGTTCATGTTTTTCAATGGGAATATAAAATAAAATGCCTCATAACAGCGCTAAATGAGATTCTTTAAAAAAAATATCGCCAGTGCATTTGGTGCGTAATATCTTCTCAAATTGTTGGTGAGGAAATTCTGTGACGTAAAAACGGCTGGGTCATTAGAATATTAATATAGTTCAGGGGCATAAAAAATGTGGGGCTGCAAGCCTTGTAGGGGAGAGCACTAATTGTGATTCTTATAAAATGCTTAACTTGTATGCATGTTTTGTCAAATGTTCAGCCCCACCCCCATTGCAGGGTATTACATTTGACAAAGGATGTATATGCAGAACTTTGTTTTAGGGGTTCTTTTATTAGTCCTATCATTGCAAATTCCATTCTCTTTATTTGCAGTGTCCCAGTGGCCTAACACAGGGAAACCTATTAAAGTAATCATCACCAAGTATAACAGACTGAGTAACAGGTGAGTTTTGTGACAGACTGAGTAACAGGTGAGTTGTGTGACAGACTGACTAACAGGTGAGGTGTGTGACAGGCTTATTAACAGGTGAGTTTTGTGACAGACTGAATAACAGGTGAGTTGTGCAACAGACTGAGTAACAGGTGAGTTGTGAGGAGTCGATGTTAATTTTGTTCAAGAAACTAACATTTTTCTCTTCCTATTTATCTGAACCTAAGAACTTTAACTTATGATCATCATATTCTAAACAATATAAAACACACTAATATATATATATATATATATATATATATATATATATGTATATATATATATATATATATTATAAATATTAAAAAAATTTATGAAAGCTTTTCTAAAATATTCTTATATTCTATCTCTTTTATATTATAAAAAATATAAAACACACTAATATATATATATATATATATATATATATATATATATATGTATATATATATATATATATATTATAAACATTAAAAAAATTCATGACAGCTTTGCTAAACTATTCTTATATTCTACCTCTTTAAATTTATTCTGACTTGCTTATTTTGACAGATTTTATCCCTACGATGAAATCGAGACAGAATGTATCCTGGCATTGGATGATGACATTGTCATGTTGACGCCTGATGAAATGGAGTTTGGTTATGAGGTAAGGGTTTTTCATTTAGCTCTTCCATCTTTGAGGATGATAAAAAAGAAAGGAACCACATCCATGATATATTTTGTTAATAAATCTTGTATTATTTCAAAAGTTCACAGTTGTGTCTCAACCACCAGGTTATTGTTGAACTTTTCCTTGGCACAAGATGCTTGAGATTTTCTTAGTAAATTTGCTATCAGTAACACATTAAGAAAATATCATGTGTAGAACGTTTGGATGTTCAGTAGTATTGATAAAAACATAAATCATAAAAACATAAATCTGTAAATACATGAATCGTATTGTAAATACATAAATTGTATCTGAAAATACATAATTCATATCTGTAAATGAAGTAATGTATTCTATGGCTCTGTACACCTTGGTGGATCCAACAGGTTTGGAGAGAGCATCCGGACCGACTTGTTGGGTATCCTTCTCGACTTCACCTCTGGCAGAATGACACGCAGAGCTACAGCTATGAATCCGAGTGGATGAATGCCATATCCATGGTGTTGACAGGTGCAGCTTTCCACCACAAGGTAAATGCTTTAAACAATCACCTCTCGCAGGAAACCAGTTCCACTAATTAACTACTTTTTGGTCCCTGGCATCTGAGATTGTTTTATTTCTACATCAAGTCATTAGATGTCCATGCTCATTAATTTCCTGTACAAAGTGTTGCTTTCATTCATTGTGGTAAGAAAATGATAAAAAACTCATCTCATTTATCATTATCATTTTTAAAAAAATCACTAGATTCCTTTGATGTGTGAAAATTACAATGACTTGATGATAATTGATTGATTGATTTTTTTGGCCCTATTTCTCCTGTACATCCATTGATAATACAATAGTAACTGTGTCTTTCTCTGTAACTAATGGCATAAAACAAGACTGTGCCACAGCTCCAACACTTCGAGCATGGTATTCTCAGCAGTGCTGACTGAAACTTTTCTTCACAATAATGACGGTAATATCAAACTGATGATGAAGTATTTCATCTTGGGAGACTAAACGCTAAATTCCAAGGTCCGTACCGACATCATCAGGGATTTTCTGTATGCAGACAACTGTGTTGAGAATGCTGTATCAGAGGCATGTATGCGATGCAGTGTTTCAAACTTCTAGGATGAAGCCTGCACAAACTTGGTGGACATAAAACAAAATACAAAAATTTCCTGTATGACTTGAACCTCTCATAAACCCAATACAATTGTCATTGGCAATGTATTTCCTACAAGCATGAAAACTAATCAATGACCATACTTCAACAATTAAACATAACCACTTCTGCAGGGTTTTTCAAGGATTTTGCATATTTTGTAGATCTGTCAGGAAAAAATACGCTAATGCAAATTAGTTAGGTTCCAATGAAAAATTAGTGAATAGTTGAATCCACGAATCCTAAAATGAAAATGCACAAGGTATTACTGTACATTGTTAATAATAATCGATATAATTTTGTGTTGCAGTATTTCTCCTATATGTACACATATGGAATGCCTGGCAATTTGAAACAATGGGTAGATGAACATATCAACTGCGAGGACATTGCCATGAACTTCCTGGTCACTAACGTTACTGGGAAAGCACCTCTCAAGGTTTGAGAATGTTTTTAGAATATATAAATGGTGGATTAAGACATGTTTAGGCTTTAAAAAAAGACAGGACAATTACATGGACATTTCAGCTAAATGCCTTCATTAGCAGACGAGACAAAACAAGAAATAAAAAATGAATAGATATTTAAAAACTAAAGGGTTAGAAGATTCTGATCATAATGTAGTTCTCAAAGTCCCTGTGTAGAAATGGAATGTTATGTTGTTCAAAACCAAAAGGTGTGTTCCACATAATTCTGTGGTGTGAACTATCAAGTTAGAAGAATGAGTTATGATTAATTTAAGGAATAATATTTTAAACGAAAAATGAGAACAGAAATGGAGATTAAATTGAGGAGCGCTAGAAAGAGAGGGATTGATGCCCTATGGTGCTATTGGGCCAAAAATATTTTAATTAATTTTTATTCATACTTCACTCTCCCTGGTTTTATTATTGCTAGAAATTAGAGCATCCCTTCTGAAGACATAGATTTGTATCACTTGTCAAGTGGAGGGGTGAGAATACCCCTGTTTGTGTCAGGCATAGATTTGTATCACTTGCCAAGTGGAGGGGTCAGAATACCCCTGTTTGTGTCAGGCATAGATTTGTATCACTTATCAAGTGGAGGGGTGAGAATACCCCTGTTAGTTACTGAGTTTAAAGAAAAAATTGTCTAATTCTTTTGCAAACGTCGCTTCCAGGTTGTCCCACGGAAGAAGTTTAAGTGTCCTGAGTGTGTTAAAGAGATGTTGTCAGCTGATATTTCCCACATGGTGGAGAGGTCCGAGTGCATCAACTTCTTTGTCCAGCTCTATGGTGCAATGCCACTCAGGCCAATTGAGTTTAGGGCCGACCCTGTCTTGTTCAAAGATAAAATTCCTGGAATTCTAAAAAAATATATGGATCTTGGAACTTTGTGATGTGAGTGTGTATGTGCTAGTGTGTATGTGTTGGTGTGTATGTGTAGGTGTGTATGTGTTGGTGTGAATATGTTGTGTGTATGTGCGATGCATATGTGGGTGAACGTGTTATTTTCTGAAAATAAGTTTGTTGAAAGAGACTTAGATCCTGAAATGTTGAACATAAATGCATATTTTCAGATATACTTACAAATCTAAATGGGTTGTCTAGCAAGCATCTACTATTCACTTATGATAATTTTAAAAACACCCAAACACATACATCTTGCCTGTATAAAAAATAGATTAAATAAATTGTTGTTTTGAAGATTGCTCCAAGTATCGACAAATGTTTATTTTAGTGCAGAGCGGATACTTTCAACATTTTTTTAGTGGGTATATTTATAAGACAGAACCTAAGTTGTTGTTTCAATAGACTAGATATTGCCATGATGGATTGTTTGTTGATTGTGATAATTGTTGTTTTTACCTTTTTTTTAATATAATTTTAAATTTTCTTTATTCTTTCTCTCTTGCTGTTGAGGTACGACTGGGGAGGTAATTGTTTATGTCACTTATTTTTATATTCTTGCTCATTTAAAAGTAGAAAAAAAACTGTTTAAATATCATGTTGACTACACAATTTTTACCATATATATTTTTTTTTGGTTGTTTTAAACAGCTTATGAGGTAAAATTGTAAAAACCATTAAACGATGTTATTTGTGTTACATCAGCACAGCGCGTTAAGCTATCGGATTCTGGGACCATCTCTTTATTGACATCCTATATTTTGTGTATCATCAACAAAGCGCTTTAACCTATCAAATTCTGGGACCAGCTCTTTATTGACATCCTATATTTCGTATATCACTGATCAGGTCAAAACATGGTGTGGATTATGTATGTCTTAAAAAAAACTTGAAACTAAAAGCAAAGTTGATAAAATAAAATAAAATTTGATCATTTTAAAGCCATAGATAAAATGATTATGTTGTTAGCCTCTATTCTAAGCCTTACCAGGAGGTAATCTCTTTTTTAATGATACTAATTGTTTAAATGGGTGTGTATGAAGTATTGGTGATAACGGGATTCATTGTCTTGTATGATTAAATAGAAAAAACAAACATTATTTATTTTCAACAAGTGTTAAATAAATTATATATTTATTGTTAATATCTTAGCAGTCTTGGGAACACTGATCTACAACACACAGAGTATCGGGAAACAACATTTTTGCGTGGTGCACGCCTGAATAGTATTACATGTAAAATAAAAGATATTTATTCTGTGGCACAACTACATCGGAGACTAGGGTTTGAGGTTGGAGTACTATTTGCTTAAGGGTATTTTAAATATGTACATAGGGAAGACAAGACTCTTCGTTTCTGTAAATATGTAGAAATTTTTTTCACTTGTAACTTTGTTTCATTTATAACACAAATTTTTCTTGTTATTTAATATGATTATTTTGTTTTAACGCTATCATAATTGTAGGCCCACTTTGTGATAAGCTGGACAAATGTCCTTCAGGACTCATTTAATATATTTTCAAAAACTCAGGCAATTTATGTAGTCAAACAGTGATCCAGACATTGAAGAACTATGCAGGGTCATCATTTTAAGAATAAAATTTCCATGTTTAAATTTCAAAGAAATCATAATTTAAAAAAAAAGTTTTTAATAATAAAGAAAAGTTTTCACATTTTTTACCAGAAAGATTTGTTTACCAGAAATTTGATAGAAAGAAATTTTATCGACGGCAAAATTGCTAGACGGAAATTTGATCTAACGGAAATTCGGTGGAATAGTTTTTTTCGGTTCACGATAAAATTTCGTCAAATTTCTTTTTGAACGCACTATACTATATAGTAAAACAAAATAATGCAAATTTCCGTTCTATCAAATTTCCGCTCTATCAAATTTCCGTCGATCTATTTTCTGTTAACAAAATTTCTTTTGATCAAATTTCCGAATACAAAAAGATTTGGGTTTGAGATTATTAAAATAGTTTTATGTCAAGCAGGTAATTAAAAATTTAAAAAATTTGTTGTGGTGGGGGGGATTATTTAAGTGATTTTTTTAGATTTAGGTTTGACAATATTTTTCAAAGTTTAATTTATACAAAACAATTTATAGTGATACCGTATTTTCGGGCGTATAAGACGACCCCCTACTTTTCCTGTTAAAATCTAGGGTTTGGGCTGTACACCAGCTCATAAGACAACCCCAGGCGTATAAGATGACCCCCGACTTTTGAAAAGATTTTCATGGTTTAAAAGGTCGTCTTATACGCCGGAAAATACGGTAATTTTTTTTAACTCGAACAATATGAAGAAAGCCAATAAGTATTTACCAGATTTGTTATAAATTGATAGGAAATATAACACACATGATAGACAGACTAAACAAAACAACAGACGTTTCCTCTACCATGTATTTCTAATTGCTTCAACCTGAACGCAGTCCTCCCCACACATGACACTAATAAGAAGACAGACTTGCCAGGCTGCTATTTGTCCCCATTATTCAACGTACAGAATATTTTGCATCCGTTTGTCATTTGTTCTGTATTGTTTGTTGTTTTGAAATGTACTAGTCATTGTTCAAGATTATACTATGGTGTGTGACATCGATCTTGTCAGTTAATCAAAAACTTCACCATGAAATCATGAAACGCCAAATATTATATAGAAATGGCCTTAAGTTGCATTTGAAGCATATAAAATCCATTTTTTTTCTCTCAAATATGTTGTTTAAATATTTCTGAGTACTCGTCTATTAATTCAAATTGAAAGGCTCAGCCCAATCAACTTGCATTAAAAAAATCATAACTTTGTGCTATCCCTTTGAAAGGTGGTCACTCATATATTACGGACATTGTCAATGATATCATTTCCTTGTACTTCACCAAGAAAAATAATGTAGTTTCTTAAAGGCTAAAAAAATTTAAAAAATTCTGCGGTGTACAAGGCATGGCCACGATGTTTATATGATAAAAGATAGTCTTAAATTATAACTAGTTATATTGACGTAATGGGCCATGCATTTGATTTCCATTATTGGCTTTTGTACTTAAGAAATATGTCTGATAGGACCTGGCGATCTTTTGCACACCTCTGTGTAATGGGATCAGCTGAGCTTAGCCTTTCAGTTTCATTTAATGTCTTGCATGTATTTACACTTATATTGTTTATTTAATGTTTTTCTTTGAATTGTTAGCACCTATTCAATGGTAACAGTTATATTTATGTGTGGTTCATTGTAATTAATAAATTTCTATTATTTTCTTTTAAGATTAAAAGAGAAAAGTTTGGGATTTTTTTTTAATCTTAAGAATTCCTGATAGTTACTTAAATTATTGATTCTGTGAGGCTCTTTTAAATGTTGTTAAAAATTTTTGTTGATTGAACCTGATTGTGATTGGTAGCAATAATGTTGTCTGGTGGGTTTTTTCTCCCCAATAATTTCAGTTTGTTAAAGCTTGAAAATCACTTTATTATTTCTGGGAATATATATTAATGTATATAATGTTGTGTTGAAATTTAACTTGAAGTTGAAGATGTCAATCTCACCTCCATATAACAATATATTTTTTAGCTTTCTTCAAATTTAATTTTTTTATGTTTGAGAATCACAGCTGATTAACAACAAACAACTATAATCATTGTATATTGACTACTCTCAGTAGCACTTCATAAGTCTGTGCAATTTGCATCTAAAGTTGACATTTCTTCTAAGAATGCTGCTGAGACTGTATTTCAGATGAGTGAATTGGATGTGTGACAAGAAAAGCCGAGACCTTCTTGTTGAAAATAAGAGAATGAATTTAGTTTTAATGTTTGGAGATAATTAAGATTAGAATAACCACCCCACCACCTTGGTTATATGTCATTTTATGTAGCTGTTGTTTATATATGAAATGATTGTGTGGGCTCTTAATACGATTGTGTGTGGTCTCAATCATGATTGTGTGTGGTCTCAATCAATGATTGTGTGGTCTTAATCAATATGATTGTGTGCTCTTATGATTGTGTGTGGTCTCAATCAATGATTGTGTGGTCTTAATCAATATGAGTGTGTGCTCTTAATATGAATGTGTGTGGTCTCAATATGATTGTGTGTGATCTTAATTTAATTGTCTGAATCAATCTTTTTTTTTTCATTTTTCTCATCAATATCTCAAGAGTGGTCAATTATGAAATAAAAGTTAAATATTCTGGTCAAAAGATTTTTTTTTTTACAAAATTAGATTTACTTGTTTTTGAAAAAGAATTTCCTAAAAAGTTTTATATTTTTGTGATTTAATATGTGAGAATAAGTGCCATAAGACCATAAAAGCTGAAGATCCTACAAGTTAATAATCTTATTCTGCGCCATCCCATAGTCACCCGCACTGTGTAGCTTCAAAAGCACTGTGTAGCATATTTGTAAACAATTAAGATTAACACTAAATTGTTTGCCATTTCTTTTACATCATTTTTTGCACTTTCACCATGGAAGTTTCAAGAACTCCTTGCCCATCTCTACCATAGATGCAAGATTTCACACATATTATTAAACAGGCCATTTTACTCACATTCTCACTGACCAACTCCAGTAATTCTTAATGACATACACATTAAGTATGAGCAAGTTTGTTGCAAGATTTTTTAATTGACATATTCACAAAATTTAAAAGACAACATCATCAGTACAGTAGGTCAAAGACACAACCACTAAAATTTCCCCAGCTCATTTTGTTCCATCCCTCTAGTGTAGCAACCTACAAAATGTTTGCATTGGTTTATTTGTTGAAAGATTACATGTACAAGACAAATAAAATTTTAAAATATCTACGGCTTGTGAGCCAGAAGTACATTGTATAGATAACAATTATTGAAAATATCAAAGTATGCACTAGAATATCCCACACACGCAGTTATAATTTACTTGTGCTTCCACTTAAATTCTTCTATCTATAACTGCCTGCTGGATTGGCCAACTCACAGACATCCTCATGCCAGCCTGCAGCTGCTAACATTTATTCACACTGGTCTGTAGTGTATGAATAATGACATAAAACCTCACCAGGCAAAGTATGCATGCTGTCAATGTGTTCATCCCCCACTCCATGTTTTCACCTAAGCTTATCCCCACCTATGTTCTAAGAATTAACTCTCTCAAAACCAGGCTTGTTACGCAAGTTAACATGTAACACCATCTTACACCAACTTATTTCCACTACTAAGATTACCCTACATAATTTTGTTTCATTTAATCTCATAGTCTGGAGCCAAGGCTCTTCATGTAAAAAAATGTCCACCTCGATCTAAACTAACAAACATTATTTTGCCTACACTTATTTTTTTTCCCCTCAAAATTACTGTAATGATTTGTCACAAAAAGTGTTTATCACATAAGCAAGGAATGCATTTTGTTAGTGTGCCAAAAAAATTATACTAAATTGGATTACAGCAATCAGAAGAACATTAAAAACTGTTTTCATTTGGCCAGTGATTTGAAATTTGGTTCCACTTTCATTTTTAAACACCTTGTAGAGGTGTGTAAGCCAAAATATTCAGCTATCCATTGAAATGAAATGACATGTCATGTGATATGCCTCTAATTGCCAAGAAATGAAACAACAACATGACATCTATACATAAACTGGGGTATTTACAGAACAATATTTACATCAATGTTTTCAAATGAAGTCATTAATATGTCAAGTTACATGAAAGGGGGGTAAATCATCACAGATTAAAGTTTTCATGTTCAGTAAGATTCCAGGCAGATCCTTCGAAGTGTAACAACTAGTCACATTTTGACTGTCAATTTTGTATAGCTCCTCTTTTTAATGATGCATTCTAACAAATCTTTATAATTATATTTCCAAATGGTTTTAATAAAATAGAAACAAAGATAATTTTATTGAAATCAATGTCTTAGTCTTAGCAAGGACCAGCCACAATGTAAACACAAATATAAATATTCATTGCATTTGTTTTTTATTGCACAAATTGAAAACCTGTTGCTAAGCAACTAACAAAATATAAAAATAACATAATGAGCAAGAAAAGAAAAACACAATATTAAAAACACTACAAAATAAAGATATATCTTAAATACTTAGAACCACTTTAGAATTAAACACTACTAGGATCTATGCGGTCGACAGCTCTAAGGAAACCGTGCCAAGAAGGTGCAAGAGAAGATCCCCCAATCTGCGTCAGCCATAACATAGGATTTCGTTTATCCCAGGGGTGGGTCATAGTAATCTGCAGTTGTAAATTCAACGCTTACCATGTAAGGTAAAATTAAAGGTAGTCACCCCTTTGGTGTTCCTGAGTTGGCTGGATGGTTAGCCACTAGGACGAAACATCCCTTGAGAGTCGCTACACAGCATCTCCCCTTTGTAAAAGGAGGGGAGATTCTGCGAATTGGGCCTCTCGGGAGACCTTTAAGAGCCTTGGCTCAGGCCGCTGACTTCAAATCTTTATGGGCAATTTTTATTTATACAAAATGATCAGAATAACCAAGTTTAGGAATCTAGCATTCCGCGATACTCCTCAGCTATTTCATATAATCTTATGATGCTAACAGTTCGAGACCACTGCTATAACCCATGATTCTTTCCCCAGGTCACAGCTGTTCTTGAGCTAAAAGAGTCTCACAGGATCATGAGATTTGGTACATCCATAATAACAATGTATTATTGCACTGTTGGTACAAATAAGCAATGCCATCAAATCATACAGACTTGGCAAACTTTGATTAAGTAGCTGAGCTTTTCTTTTGAATTTCATTTTTTTTTTAAATAGCAGAGGAAGGTTGTATTTTATCTATAGCACTTGGTGCCTTCAGATTTTTTTTAAAAGACAAAATTTAATTAATGAGACAGAAGTCTCTTCAGCAAAATTATTGGTGCATGTTTATAAGGGGAACAGGAAATGACAATTTTACCTGAGAATAAATTCTTGAAATAAAAGTTGATCATGGCTTGCCAGTCACAGAGATAGATAGATCATCACATCAACAAACAAGACGTTGTCAAAAACACATTTAAAAAAAGTCTCTGTGTATTCTATAAATAAAGTACATTGAAAAATACTGGTATATGGAGATTCTTTTGGCAAAAAATAAACGTGAGAAAATTGCACAACCACAAAAATACCATGCACAAAGTAGGCCACCACAATGTACACACAAAATTAATAAAGATCACAGCCAAGGGAAATAAATACTTGTCTCCAAAAGGTGGGGTGGAGGGTAACTAAAGGGATCACAACTTATAATAATGTTACGCGATTGTCATCATTGCTCTGTAATACGATTGTCATCATTGCTCTGTAATAAAAACTCTTTTCATTTTGTTAAACCAGCTTTTGATGCGTTGGCAGTAAAAACTGAATTTTGTTCAGTTTAAATTTATTTGGCTGTATTTGGTGAACGAGGAGATGCGAGGGGAGCAAACTCGTACATCCTTCCCAGCCTGTTGAAACACTGGGCCAGTTGGTCTCTCAGTGCAGGGTCTGATGCATTGAGTATCAGCTGACTGACAAAGGTGAAGGTAACAGGAAGTAGTGCAGAAAACTTTTCATCTGAAAGGTTCAGGGCCATTTGAAGTATTGCCGTCAGGGTATCTGACCAAGCTTGAATGTGGGCCTCACTGTCCTGAGAAGTTGAATGAAAAAAACATGATGAAGAGAACTCTCTAAACTGAGAAGTTGAATGAAAAAAACATGATGAAGAGAACTCTCTAAACTGAGAAGTTGAATGACAAAAACATGATGAAGAGAACTCAGTAAACTGAGAAGTTGAATGATAAAAACATGATGAAAAGAACTCTCTAACTGCAGCTCAGATATTGATTTCAAGATCAACATTTTTAAAATCTAAAAAGAAAGCGAATTTTAAATATAATTTTTGTTTAACTAACTGCAAGTTTTTAGACTTTAACAGGTTGTCAAAGGCTTTAAACAAATATGTCATTTAAGTACAAATGTGTTTTTAAATTTAATTTGACCATGACACGGGAACTCATAAATAATTTTTGGAACTAAATAAGATAAAGTAATCCATTGTTTGTAAGATATGGCCATCCACCGCCCCTCCCCCACAAAACACACATTATCATCATCAGTGGCGTTACAGCCCAGGTATGCCCCCCCCCAACCCCCAACATCCTTCCATTTGAATCAATCCATATCTTTCTGTCTCCATGCCCAGACTCCCAGCTGGTTAAGTCCTTCTCCACATCGTCAACCTATGTCAGTTTTGGTCGACCCCTGAGCCATCTTCCCATAGGTTTCTGGCAATTCGTCACTGAGGTGGGCCAGTGCTCATCTGAGGTGGGCCAGTGCTCATCCTCTGTGTAAACTCAGAACATTGCAGGTCACAATCAATAAATCCTTTCCTTGTCCAGGCATAGGTAAACATCCAAATATATCAATGAAATTTTTGGTTTGTGATTTAGCTTTCATAACTTTTGATTTTTTATGTGACAGGGTCATCAGCCCTGGGGTGATGTCCCTCACAACTCTTGGGTAGCTGCCTTTGTTTTGGGTAAGGTCCTTACCTTTGTGGATCCCTCCACTTCCTACAAGGCAGTAGGTTCTGATTTTGGTCCACCCCAAGTATGTCATTTCCCATACCTGGTGGGCTTTCCTCTATATACCACCTTTGGAGGTGCTGGATGTCAGATCAGTATCTCTGTATGAGCCCCAAAACACACAGACAAACATAAGATATTTTTGCATGATACCATCAAAAGCCAATACATTTTGTTCACAGTCATTCATATATTTTGATATCATGCACTCGGTCATTTGTATATTTTGATATCATGCTCTCGGTCATTCATATATTTTGATATCATGCACTCAATCATTAATATATTTTGATATCATGCACTCAATCATTCATATATTTTGATATCATGCACTCACTCATTTAAACATTTTGATATCATGCACTCAGTCATTAATACATTTTGATATCATGCACTCAATCATTCATACCTTTTGATATTATGACTCAATCATTCATAAATTTTGACATCATGCACTCAGTCATTCATAAATTTTGATATCACGCACTCAGTCATTCATAAATTTTGATATCATGCACTCAATCATTCATACCTTTTGATATCAGGCACTCAGTCATTCATAAATTTTGATATCATGCACTCAATCATTAATAAATTTTGATATCATGCACTCAATCATTCATACCTTTTGA